GTTAATTTATAATTGGTGTTTGTATAGATGTTGGCTGATATAGAAATAGAGGAAAAATTTGTCATCATGTGTCAAAGTCGACAGGTGCACTTATTGTTGCTTGACAATTATAATTACTTTTCGGCACTCAGTGCGGATAAGGCCTGTATCCGCACTGAGTGCGGAAAAGTGTAACTTTGAGCCCGGAAATGCGTGCGGAAAAGTACTACTTTGCGCACGCTCGTAGGAAATAGTTATTTTCCTAACAAGTGCGCAAAGTGTTACTTTTCCGCACGCAAACACAGTTATACGAACGACGCGAAGCGGAGTTTGGATAAGTGTTTGCGTGCGGAAAAGACACTTTGCGCACGTGTTAGGAACTAAATTTTTCCTACGAGCTTCATATCAGGTAGGTAACAACAAAAATTTAGAAAAAAAAATTATTTGTTCAACTATTTTTAATTAACTTGAAGCGAACCTATGCAGTTATCAAAAAATTACATAACAAAAAAAAAATAACAGAAAATCATCGTCAGAGCCCTTTTTTTAAAACGTTTAAATTTGATGAGAAAGTTTGTAGATTCTTGCATATCAATAGAGAACAAATCTGACAATGTGTCAAAGTTAATTAAATTTGGTGTTTGTATAGATGTTGGCTGATATAGAAACAGAGGAAAAATTTGTCATCATTTGTCAACGTCGACATGTGCCCTTATTGTTGCTTGACAATTATTTTTACTTTTCGGCACTCAGTGCGGATAAGGCCTGTATCCGCACTGAGTGCGGAAAAGTGTAACTTTGAGAACCGAAATGCGTGCGGAAAAGTACTACTTTGCGCACGCTCGTAGGAAAAAAAATTTTCATTATACTTACCTGAAAACAACTCTTTTTCACCTGTCATTACAATAAAGTTAAGGTGACATATCCAGAACAGCGCACGGAAATTTTTTCCCGATCTCTGTTTCCGTGCGCTAAGCAGATTAGACGTCAGTCAGTATTGCATCCTTGTCATTCATCCGAAATTGAACAAAGATATCTTATTATAAATGCACCCCGAAAAATAAAAAACGATTTAAGTTTCCGTGACAACCCTCATTTATTCATTTACCTTCAGGGCGAATTGACCTGTCTCGCATAAATAGAAAAAGAGAGCTTAATGGACCTTTCTCATTTTACCTGTGCTGCGCGCGCATCTTGTGGGTGACAGATAATTAAATCGTCAATTTACTCAACACGGTCTGACCCTGACGTATTTAAGCTAACCTCAATAATCAATCAGTATCAACCAATATTGCTGAAAATTATTACAAAAACTGTTTATGATTCAATGGTTCAAATGAGTTGGACGAGTTCTTGTCAGAATTAGGCGAAAAAGAAGTCACACGTTTCTTTTCACAAGTTCCCAAGCAATCAAATTGCAAGAAAACAATAGTTACGTGCTCTCAACCCGAATGAAGACGATTTAAGTTGGGACAGAGATTTGCGGGTTCGTAAAATAACGATTTTTAAATCAAATACAATAATAACGTAGGTACAATTAAAGGTTTGCTGCAAACATTTTTGCTGCGGTGGGTTTTCTTTCTAATAGACCTGTTTCCCATGATTAGAAAAAGAGAGTTTAATTGTAATAAATACAAGTTAGAAAGCAATAGAAGATGACATGCGCGCGCAACTCGTAGGCTGCTTTGAAGCCAGATTGTATTGTTGCAGAACAAAATATAGACAATACAAATCGAACATTATAACATTAAAGAAGTGATATAGTGTCAAGTGTTTTACAAGGCCTTAAATCAGACAAAAGAAGAGCTTTAAATTGGATATGAACATCGTTTGCACTTTTATTTTGATAAATTTTTCATCCGGCAACATCGCTCGATGAAATTTCAAAGGAATATGTCAAGTATAACCTAAAATAACCTTAAACGAACCTGCGGTGAGTTCAAGTTATATGTAAAGTATCAGTTTGCTCTTTGTCAAATTACACGTTACAAAAAAAGAAGGAATGATTGATTCTGAACTGACCCCTGAATAAGAATATGACGCAAGCCTGTCACAAATTTGCTTCTCATTGGACGCTCACCTGCAGCCTCTTGCCTGCAGCCTACAAGCGACGCGCGCAGTAGGGTTGCCAACCGTCCTGCATTTCGGTGGACGTCCACCATTTGAGGTTCATTGTTTAGCGTCCTGTAACAACCTATTGCAGGACGCCTATTGTACTTAATTTTTAACTTAATGAAGAATTCTGTCAAATTAAGTCGGCTATAACCCTGGTTCTGTTCTGGTTGATAACGAAAATCATATACATTACTTGAAAATGGAATTTATTATATGTATTTGACTAATAATGAATTGAAATACTACTGGATCATTTTGCAACTTGTATTTTCTATATTTGGGTTTTGGGTCAAATTTTTAGTTCCTATATATGCACCCTCAGAATTCTTGTTGAACAGTTTTTTTAGTGTATCAGCCAGGTATGTTTTTTTTTTGTCAAATTGTTTATTTATTACGAAGAGCTAATTTTGGTCGCGGCACCATCGAAGACTAGGATTCAGCACCTAAGTACTTCCTTCTACTTCTACTTTACCTGCAGGCACTAAACTTGGGTTGGGTTTCTTTGCTTTTCTAACCACACTGATGAGATCTGATAGATCGAAACGCGTCTGTGGATGGAAAAGCGAAGAAAATTAATCCAAAATGTTCACATTGTTCCGAGCATTGTTCATTTAAGTTTGTAAATGGTATTTTTCTCTGCGAAAATAAAAATGTCCAGAATTTATACCGTATGTCCTGATATTTTAATACCCTCGTCCAGAAAAATTAAAAAACAAAGTTGGCAACCCTAGCGCGCTGTCCAGGTGAAAGGAGATCGGTCTATTAATGTTAATACGTATTTTGTCATATTTACGTTTAAAAATAAACAAAAACAGAAACATAACCGAAATTGCACAATTTGACAAGTGGAACCAATCAAAGTCATTCCACACAGGTATCGTGCATCATTATATATGTCTTTTTCTTTATTGCAGAAATCTTGATAAACTATCATTGTTGTTCATTGCATGAGAAAGGTCCATTGTAATAAATACAAATTAGAAAGTAATAAGAGATGACATGCGCGCGCAACTAGTGGGTTTCAGTGTAGCCAGTTTGTATTGTTGCAGAACAAATGTAGACAATACAAATCGAACATTAAAACGTTAAAGAAGTGATATAGTGTTAAGTGTTTTACAACGCCTTAAATCAGATAGAAGAAGAGCTTTAAAGTGTATGTTCACATCGTTGGCACTTTTATTTTGATAAATGTTTCATCCGGCAACATTGCACAATAAAAGTCCAAAGGAATATGTCAAGTATAATCTGACATAATTTTAAACAACACTGCGGTGAGTTCAGAAGTAATACGTAAAGTATTAGTTTGCTCAATACTCCAATCTTGCCTATCAAGCCAAACACCCTATACTTCTACCCAAAACCCATACTTTTACTCGGTTACTGATAACACACATACACGAACTGAATTTCCATTCTGGAACACAATCTACTTTGTCTTTTGTAAGGCAGAAATTCTGGCCCTTACATGGAAAATCCACAGTAAAATCAGTCATCCGTAAATGCATTTCTTGCTTTCAACAGAACCCTAAACCTTTAAGTGCCCTTATGGCAGGCTTACCTGAACCAAGAGTAAATCCTTCCAGACCTTTCCTTCACACTGGCGTGGATTATGCTGGTTATTTCTTAATTAAAGACTCCAAATTACGAAATAGAAAATAACGGAACGAATTTTGTTGAAGCGAGTAGCGAGCTACGTGAGATTTATAAGATCTATCAGTCTTCTGAATTTCAAAATTACGCAAAAAAACAACATGATAGAATTTCATTTCAATCCCGCTGTTTCTCCACATTTTGGGGGATTATGGGAGAGTGTGGTAAAATCCTTTAAACATCACTTGCGTCGAGTAGTATCCGACAAAAACCCCCTCACCTATGAGGAATTTTACACATTTGTGGTTCAGGTGGAGGCGGTATTGAATTCGCGCCCTCTCCTACCAATTACCAATGATCCTAACGACCTTGAAACCCTCACTCCCGGACACTTCCTTATCGGCCATCCTTTGAATATGGTCCCTGATCTTGACCTCCAAACAACGTCCATGAACCGTCTCAATAGATACCAAATGCTACAGTCAATGGTGCAACATTTTTGGCGTAGATGGTCAGAATAATACCTGCATACGCTCCATGAACGCTTCAAGTGGCGTTTCAATACTAACAACGAAAACCTCAAGGGATCTCTAGTTTTGTTGAAGGATGAAAATAATCCACCATCCAGATGGACCACTGCTAGAATCTTAGAACTTCACCCCGGCAATGACGGCATCACTCGTGTGGTTAGTGTGCGCACTTCAAGTGGTAGTGTTTTGAAACGAAGTATCGTTAAAGTGTGTCCTCTTCCGATTAGTGACGAATCTATTGACTCGAAAATGACTTAACTTACCTTATTCTGTCAAGTTGACGAATACTTTAGGTATTATCAAATTATCTAAACCTATGCATATTTATAAATCTATATACTTACCTTTTTTATAACTTCATTTCCATTATTAATGATTTTCTACTTACCTGTTATAATAACTCTTCCTTTATTGTATTTCTAATCACCTACTATGTATTATTATTACCTACTTATTGTAATCTTATTCCATGAATCATTGTTGAAAGATACCTCGGTACTTTCAAGGGTGGTGGTATGAACAGTCATATTTTTTACTTTCACCCAAATGTAGGAATATTCTTTCAAAACTTATTTTGAAGCAACAGAAAACCTACCAATCAATTATTATTGTTGTATGTAATAGTGTAATAATGTTGGGTTTTTCACTGACATGATCAACACCCTAGGGGTAAAAATGTAGAAAACTATAGTATGTAATTGTATTTGTTTTCTCATGATCGAATAAAGAATCTATCTATCTAAGACTACCAATTGGAAACGTTCTCCATGGAGGCTATGAACTTAACCCCTATCGACATGCCAAATTTCAAGTTCAAGTTCAAGTCAAAGTGAGAGGAATAGAAATGAAAATCGCTCAGAATTGTATTCATATAAAAGCTATTCGAATCAACTAAAAGAAAGACAATTTTTATTGTAATATACACTATATTATTTAATATAGCTTAAACTTCTATAAACTTAAGTAAGAACCACACAGAATATAACTATTTTGAACTATTTACAAAACATCAAAAACCTAATAATACGGCCTTCTCGGGTTATTCTGAAAAACAGAAAAGAACTAGAGTACCCTAAAGCTAGAAAAAAAAAATTGAATTTTTAAAAAAAAACTTTCAAACAAACATAAAAAAACAAAATTGAGAACTTCTTACCAGTGGATTTGGCCTAAATCTATAAGCCAACATCATTCGTTTACGGTACGAGTCATATTCGTCTTCATCTTCACCCATTTCGTTTAAATTTAACCCCAAACCTTGGGTGTTTTCTCTTGGCGCACCCCTAAATTTACATGGCGAATAATTAAATTTAATTCAACATTATAAAAAAATCTTACTTATTAACTGGTTCAACAATTCCAGCATTATTCTGTCCCAAACCCTGTCCTTCAGTCCAGCCAAGCTTCTGCAACATCTTAAAACCAACATTGTCTTCCTTAAGCTTAAATTCCTTATAATCTGAAAAATTGGGTGGCCGTCCCTCTTTGATGGCATTCGATTTTTCCATGAATCTTTTAAACTCATCAGGCGGCAAAAAGTCTCCTATATGATGCTTCCCTTCGGCTTGACGATTCAATTCCATGGCCCAGCGGTCAGTAGCTTGCATCTCTTTTTCTCTCAATTTATGCTCCCATGTGCCACCTTGAGTTTCTTCGTCTGAATCGTACTCGTATTTATTTTTGCCTTGCATTTGTAATTTTTCCAATTCTTGACGTTTTTTAATCATATCCTGATAGAGCAAATGGACTTTGTAGTTGTCCTCGGCCTTTTTCCAGTCTTCTTCTGAAAGACTCGCCGATCCATAGGATTGCATCGCGTATTGCACCAAACCGGGATCAGTGCGGGTTACTTTTGTTAGCATTGTGGAACTGCCAGGGATTGGAACTAAGAAATTACATTGATTAATTTATAATTTATGAAATGACGTAGCTTTTACCTGGAGGTACTACGGGATTTACAATTAGTGGAAGGGCAAGTGGAGGTTTTACATCGGTACTTTTCTCACCCCAACGGCTTTTCCTCTTTCTTTCGCGTCGTGCATTTTCTGTATTCATTGACGGCTCTTCCTGCATACAATTTTATTGATAAATATTAATACTGTGTTATAAATTGTTTCAACAAATTCTGTTAGGTTAGCTTAGGAATTCAATGTCACAATTAAATCGGGGTTTATTTAGATTAGATTTGAATATTTTCTCTGGGGACAATAAGTTTTTGAGTGGTGTTGAAATTAATGCGCATTGGTTTCTGAGTAACTTGGATTTTTCTATAAAAACTGGAGACGAGCTTGTTCAAGAAGACATGAAGTGGCTCTAAGTTCAACTGTCATGTAGATTTTTTGATCTTGGTAAGGAAATGCCAATTGCTTTTGCTTCAAAAACTTTAAATAGTACTGGAAAGAATTTCGCTCAAATAGACAAAAAAGGACTTGCAATTATTTTTGGAGTAAAAACATTCAATGAATACTTGTCTGGTAGATCTTTTACTATACAGGGTGTATATTTTAAGTGATACCACTATTGCTATATCCGAAACGGTAAGAGCTGCAAGGTCGGTTAAATTAGAAAAAAGTTGCCTTTTTTGATGCCCATTCAAGACTTGTTTACAGTGTTGCCAAATTCCTTTTAGTTTATGAAATACAGGGTTTTTTATGAAAAACGCCTAAAATTATTTCATCAATTAATTCGAAAACTATTGATATTCGAGACACAATTTAAATTTGAAAGTTTTATAATTTTTTTTGCTCTACAACATGGCATCTTCAAATTTTAAATCCGACGTTTCGTCATCGAGCTATCATCATTAACTTTATTTTTTTAAATACGGACCTGGATTTTTAATATCATTTTTGGAAAGGGAATGAAGGGCGCTTCCTAAAAATGACATAAAAAATCCAGGTCCGTATTTAAAAAAATGAAGTTGATGATGGTAGCTCGATCACGGAACGTCGGATTTAAAATTTAGGGATTCCATGTTGTAGAGCGAAAAAAATGATAAAAGTTTCAATTTTAAATTGTGTCTCGAAAATCAATAGTTTTCGAAATAATTAATGAAATATTTTTGGGCGTTTCTAATAAATCACCCTGTATTTCATAAACTAAAAGGAATTTGGTAACACTGTAAACGAGTCTTGAATGTGAGTGTGTGTGTGAAAGGAAACTTTTTTCTAATTTAACCCACCCTGTAGGTCTTACCGTTTCGGATATACCAATAGTGGTATCACTTAAAATATACACCCTGTATATACTGATCACAAACCATTATTGGGAATTTTTGATACTAAAAAAGCTATTCCGTCAATTTTGTCTCGCAGACTTTTGCGTTGGATACCCATTTTGTCAATGTATGAATATTCGATTGAACAAAGACGAGGAAAAGTTCATTCTAATGCAGATGCCCTTAGCCGCCTACTATTATTCTCAAATGATGTTACTCCAAATCCATTGGATGTTTTACTTTTAAAAAATATGAAAGAACCTCCGGTTTCAGAAAAGAAATTGCATTTCATATCCAAGAGGATCCAATTTTATCCAAGGTTTACTACTGGTTAATAAATGATTGGCCTATTACTGCCTATTTAAAAAAAAATGAGTTATTATCAATTCATGCTAACTGCATTTTATAAGGAAGTGGAATTGTAATTCCTCCTCCATTACGAGAGAGAATTTTAAAATTGCTACATGCTCCTCATCCTGGAATGGTTAAGATGAAATCTTGTGCTAGATCATTTGTTTATTGGCCTCAAATGGATAAGGAAATCGAACAAGTGATTTTAATTTGCGAAAAATGCCAGCAAGTCCAAAATTTACCACCAAAAGCTCTAGTGCAAAATGGATGAATAGTACCCATGGCGTAGAATTCATATAGATTTAGCAGGACTTTCTCAAAATCAAATGTTTATCATAGTAGTCGATTCATTTAGTAAATGGTGAGAACTTGTGCGTTTGAAAAATAACGTCAAATGAAGTAATTTCTGCATTAAGAATGTATCAGAGCTTGGTGGTAGACCTAATGACGTCAAAGTATATTATTTTGTTTGGGTTAGATTTTACTAACAGTAAGTCACAGAAAATGATTTTTGACGAGAATTGTTTATTTTTCTACGAGCGTGCGGGAAATAGCTCTTTCCGCACGATCTCCTATGCGGGAAGACTTTCTTCCCGCACCCAGTGCGGGAAGTGATTTCTTCCCGCACTCAGTGCGGGAAGAGTTTGAAATAATCATTGTGACATGGAATTGTTTGTATTGTTGATACACCTATACCTTTACCTTTTTTTTATATAGTTATTTTCCTAACAAGTGCGCAAAGTGTTACTTTTCCGCACGCAAACACAGTTATACGAACGACGCGAAGCGGAGTTCGGATAAGTGTTTGCGTGCGGAAAAGACACTTTGCGCACGTGTTAGGAACAAAATTTTTCCTACGAGCTTCATATCAGGTAGGTAACAACAAAAATTAAAAAAAAAAAAACGATAATTTGTTCAATTATTTTTAATTAACTTGAAGCGAACCTGCGCATTTATCAAAAAATTACGTAACAAAAAAAAAATAACAGAAAATCCTCGTCAGAGCTTTTTATCTTAAAGCGTTTAAATTTGATGAGAAAGTTTGTAGATTTTTGCATATAAATAGAGAACAAATCTGACAATGTGTCAAAGTTAATTATATTCGGTTTTCGTATAGATGTTGGCTGATATAGAAACAGAGGAAAAATTTGTCATCATGTGTCAAAGTCGACAGGTTCACATATTGTTGTTGACAATTAGTTTTACTTTTCGGCACTCAGTGCGGATAAGGCCTGTATCCGCACTGAGTGCGGAAAAGTGTAACTTTGAGTACCGAAATGCGTGCGGAAAAGTACTACTTTGCGCACGCTCGTAGGAAAAATACCTTTCAATACATTTTTAATTCTACCTTCTGCACAATCGCATTTTATTTAAGTTAAACTTCTCGTAACATCATCATGCTCGTAGAAAAAATATAGTTCCTAACTCTTGCGGAAAGAAATTTCCGGCACAAAGGTGCGAAGCGCAACGTCGCGGTTGCAACGTCGCATATAAATTGTTTTGGGGCTACAACCAAGGTCTTGTTTAAGAATGTTATCTGCTACGCATGGTTTGCCTGTGGAAATTGGGTCTGATAATACACAATTCACATCTATGGAATTCAAAAATTTTTGTGTCATGAATAATATTAACCAAATTAATATTATACGAGCTCACCCTGCTTCTAATGGGCAAGCTGAACAATTTGTACAAGAAAAAAAAAGAAATTGACTTTATTAACTGAAGGTAATTGGGAAATGCGTCGGCTAGATTTTTATATGCACAACACTCAATACCATCATCAACTACAGGAAAATCCCCTTCCGAATTATTAATGAACAGGTCTTTACATACAGGGTTATCCAACGAAAGTGCTTTTTACCTTACATACCTGTTAATTAAAGAGGTACAAAAAAATGTTAAATATAAAAGCTGTTGGGATTTTTATGAGGAATTAGGAGCATTTACTAAAAAAAATGGAAAAGCGGGTTTAGAAAAGATAGCAAGAAATTTAACATTTCTTGCTTAATTTAAATGGAATGACCCCTTTAGAATATGTTTTTGGATTCTACATTAAATTTGAGCCCTGATGTTACATGTCCTATGGTTAAATGTAGCAATTTTGGAGATATCACTAATTCATGATTTTTCAAAATAAATTACGAAAAAAATGACATTTCATCGTTGGAAGCTGGTAAGAGTAGTAGGTTCCCGTCTAGTCTTGCTTATTACTATTGTTTTTAGTTATTATATCGAAAATGTGTCCAATATTAGATCAAATACGCTAAATTTTGCTTTTATCCAGCCTCACCTGGTTCACCTTTTACCAAGGTAAATTACGTAAAAGGTGAATCAGGTAGAGCTGGATTTAAGCAAAATTTTGCATATTTCATCTAATATTGGACACATTTTCAATATAATGATTATAAACAATAGTAATAAGCAAGACTAGACGGGAACTTACCACTCTTACCAGCTTCCAACGATGAAATATAATTTTTTTTCGTTATTTATATTGAAAAATCATTGATTCGCGATATCTCCAAAATTGCTGAATTTAATTATAGGACATGTAACATATATCAGGGCTAAAATTTAATGTCGAATCCAAAAACATATTTAAAAATGGGTTATTCCATTTAAATTAAGCAAGAAATGTTAAATTTTTCGCTATATTTTCTAAACCCGCCTAAAATTATTTTTTTTAAAAAATGCTTCTAATTCCTCATAAAAATCCCAACCACTTTTATATTTAACATTTTTTTGTACCTCTTCAATTAACAGGTATATATTTTTTAAGAACCAGGAAAATTTGGATATGAATTTACAAGAATTTAAAGAAGATGAAAGAGTATTTTTAAAAAAAAATTACGGAAGAGATAAATGGTTAACGGAAGTTATATTGCGAAAAATTGGTCCTGTTTCTTACAAGATCACTGGTGAAAAAAAAAAAAAAAAATGTTACAGAAGACATGTTGACTACATAAGAAGAAACTTTTGCCATGAAAATAAAAACCAGTTTATTGATAAAGAAAACATTCCACTCGACATTCCACTACAACGTTTCGCTTTTGTTGACAATCATTCTTTAGTGTTTCCTTATTTTGTCCAATCCTAATGTTCAAGGAAGTTCTTCGTCATGACAAGACAACGATTCTAATATTTTGGATCCAAGAAGTAATAATGAACATGACGCTGAAATGGATTCTTCAAATAAATCGTCAAATATTTCAAGGGATGGTATTGGTGATGATAATCATAAAAATGATTCTATATGATGTCTTTGGATGCAGATCGAGATGAAGATTTAACTCAAGATTCTATAGATATACGAAACCAACTTAAACCAAGAAGTTATAGAACAGCAAACTCGACCACCACGAATAAGAAAGTTTCCAAAAAAGCTTGAGGATTTATTTTATAGTCTCCTCAGATTAAATTCAAAATGGGAAGAAATGTTATACACGGCTGTCGTTATGTATGGAAACGGCCTAATATTTCTGAACGCGCTTGAGAAATATTTCCTATCTGGGGGTTTTTGGGAATGCCCGATTCAATGGTGATATATGCACTGTTGCCAAGTTTACCGATTATTTTTTTTTAAATGAAAGTCCCTCTTTATTTTTATTGTAACTAATTCAGCGTCCCAACATTACTGAAACCCTTGAATGCCAAACCTCCATTTGACTTGGTTTTTGAAATATGGCAACACAGCTTTTTTGTTGAAATGTAAATCTAACAGTCTCGTATCTCAGAATAGGCTTTAGAAAAATGCACAATATTTCCTACTTGGGCCTACCAGCCCCCCTATAAATCTTGAATACGCGTACAATCATATTTTTCTAAAGGTTGTTTTGAAATATGAGACCGTTTCCATACATTTCAACAAAAAAGCTGTGTTGCAATATTTCAAAAACCAAGTCAAATGGAGGTTTGGGATTTAGGGGTTTTAGTAATGTTGGCATGCTGAATTAATTACGATAATAATAAAGAGGGACTGCAGAGGACCTGCATACCTTTAGTATGTAAGTCCAGCTGACCTTTTAGTTTTAGTTTCTTATTATATTTTTTTTCTTTTACATAAAGAAAACAAAAAAAACAGGCTGGTATTTTTGTTTTTCTTTTCTGAATAAAGACCTTAATTATTTCATTTAAAAAAATCAACTTACATACGACAGTTTATAAACGGTAAAGTTGGCAACACTGCAAATACTACCATTGAATCGGGCATTCCCAAAAACCCCCAAGTAGAAAATATGGTACATTGTTCTTAAGCGCGTTCAGAAATATTAGGCCGTTTCCATACATAACGACAACCCTGTATATTATTATTATATGCGTAGGTAATTGTCACAAAACGACGTCAATCGTTGGCACCACTTTTCAGCATTTCTTTCGAAATGGCTCAGGATTTCTTTCTTGAACACTTCGGGCGGATTTTCGAGCAATGTGGTCATGCTTTGCACCGATTTTTCGAGCAATGGGGTCATGCTTTGCACCGATTTTAATATCACCAATTCGGTGTAGGTTCTCGAATTTTCATATCCCTGTTGTGTTTCAGTCTGCTTGTCATAACCGGCTTCATTATAGTAAGGTTCTGACAGCAAAATTAGACCCTGGATTGAAACAATCAACTGGAGAAGAGTACTGTTAGGACCCCACATTTCTGTACCTTTACCCATCCACGTACCCAAAAGCGAAACACAAACTTTGCCTTCGACATACAAGTTGGGATTGAGCCTTTCCGAGCTGTAGCTAATGTAATGCACCCAGCGGCGGTGAACGAGGATAATCGTTGCTCAGTTTAATGTCGAACAAAAACAGTCCATCTTCGTAGGTAGTTTTATCAGGCTTTCGAATCATTATTATTATTATTATTATTATATAGCATTTATTGTTGTTAATCTTTCAATTTGTACATTTATGACTTATCCTAAACAATAAATACAGGGTTTTCCCACAAGAGAATCCTCGTACGTGGGAATATATACATATATACAACATAAGTATTCAATATCTAATCTAATTCTAATCTAACCCAATAATTACAATAAATTAATCTATTTCCTGATATTTCTTACCAAATAAAAATTCAGGCAACCTTAGGAATCCTCTACAAGAGTGGAACTCGCGCGTAGAATGGGATATAAGGTCCCCCGAACAATCACCCAGGAAAATGACCAATTAACTACCTATCACTTCATATAAATATATATATATATATATATATATATATATATATATATATATATATATTTTTTTTTGAATTATTTGTATATAAAGCTAACCTAAAACCCACCCAAGAAAAATTTGATGGAGAGTAACAAAAACAATGATAGCAAAATTTCAAGCCTGATGGGACACATTTTTACCATCTTGAAGGCGAGGAAAAAGAACGTATGGATTCTAATTATTTTTGAAATCTATTATGCTATGAACCTCATCTCGAGTTATCTGGGTTCTAAGAAATAATTTTAGCTTGTATTTAAAAGCTAGTGTGGACGGAGTATGAAGAAATATTACGATTTTTGAATAAACTGTGGGAGCTATGAACTGAAAACATCTTTGACCTATAGTTTTTGAGACTTTGGGCCTTGCAACTGCCTGATTTCTACGATTTCTTGTTGCATATGAGTGATCAACACTTGACACATGAATCTTATTCTGAAAAAGACCCAGTGCAATTTTTTGGAAGTAGAGTTGTCTTGCATCGAAAATACTGGATTCGCTAAACAGCAAATGAGTCGGATACAGTCTATCCTTTTTTAATATAATTTTAATTATCCATTTTTGCGTTATAGTAACCGACTCTAGATACTTATTAGTGACAGCACCCCACGCTAAAATCCCATAATTTAAGTGGGACTGCGCAAGTGCATAGTATAATATTTTAAGCTGTGCAACATTAAAGATTTTAGTGAAGAAACGAAAGTTGTGCAACAATGATCTTAATTTGTTTGAAACATATTCGGTATGGTAGTCCCACCTTAAATGACTGTCAAGAAAGACTCCAAGGTATTTAAACTTATTGCAACTTTCTAGGATAACGTTTTCTGAATTGAACTTTAGTTGGATTGAGTCATATGGCGGTAGTTTGCTGCTATATGGCGGTAGTTTGCTGCTATAACATGTGAAAGGCATAAAGGTTGTTTTTTTGAAATTAACTGTAAGCATGTTCGTATTAAACCACTCAATGTATTTACCAAAGTTATTTTTTATTTTCTCTTTGAGTTGCTCCCAGGTATCTCCAGTATAATAAAACCCGGCATCATCAGCGAACGCCGCTACCTCGGCCCCCCCCTTGACTTTGAAAAGATCGTTTACATATATAATAAATAGAAGTGGGCCGAGCACGGTTCCCTGAGGAACGCCGCATTCCACGTTCAAACAATCACTAAGTGCGCCATCAACATCAACTCTTTGCTTTCTGCCATCCAAGTAACTTTTCATTAGGTTCAAGTCATTGCCCGTAAATCCAATGTTTTGAAGTTTCTTGACCATAATTGGTTGGGAAATGGTGTCGAATGCTTTTGCAAGATCAACGAAGATGCAAATGGAAGGAACGCCATTGTCGAGTGAAGTATTTACTTTTGAAACTAAGTTCGCCACTGCATCCTCAGTTGATCTCGCTTTTCGAAATCCATATTGATACTCGGAGAGGACATTGTTTACATCCAAATGCGACAAAATTTGCTGTTTTAAAACTTTCTCAAATATCTTTGATAAATTACTAATTAAGGATATAAGTCTGTAATTTGATACTGTTGATTTTTCCCCCGATTTGTACAATGGTTTCACAACAGCTTCTTTAAAAGCTGATGGGTATTCACCGTCAGTAATCGATTTATTGATGATAAACGTTAGCGGCTCTTTTATATATATCGCGATTTCTCTTATAATTTCTGCAGTTAGTCCATCTGGCCCAGGAGCTTTTTTTAGCTTTAGTGTGTTTATGATATCAAATACCTCCAATGAATTGGTTTGTTTTAGTTTAATTTTATTCCTACATACTGTTTCTTCAAAATTGACACCTCTATCAGCCTTGATATTCTTGGACAAATTCTGACCAACACTACAAAAATAATCATTGAAATGGTTAGCAATACTTTGTTTGTTTTGCATAGTTATGTTGTTTGTACCCTTCAACTCTTTCACACTGTTCTTTTTTTCTGTATTTTTCTTGTTGATCTTTTTTATACAATTCCACAATTTATTTGCACAGTTTTTGTTTTGCTCGAGGTAGTGTCTATAGTAATTTATTTTAGCCTGCTTTAATAAATTTGTCAAGTTGTTTCGATATAATTTAAATTCTTCTCTCAATTCTGTGTTTTGCGGATGTTTTTGCAATTTTTTATACAAAATATTTTTTTTTTCAGTAGACTTTATTAAACCAGGAGTTATCCAATCGCGTCTTTGAACCTCATATCTCTTTAACCGTTTTTGCTGGGTGCTGGACTTTATTGCTTCTTTTAAAATACTAATAAAAAATGTTACGCATTCGTCGACAGTTTGCTGTGTATAAACGGGGTCCCAATTTGTCGCGTTCATTTTATGTTTCAGTAAATTTTTGTCTAAGTACTGTTTATAGAGGTGTCCTTTACATTCTACATTCGGATTGTTAAATGAGGTTCCCAACTGTAAGACTTGTGAATAATGGTCCGAAATAGTAGAATGATAGCATATTGAGTTTATCGGCATATCCCGACATTTAACAAATATATGGTCGATGCAAGTTTCTCTACTAGCAGATTTTCTTGTCGCCACGTTTATTGCAGATAAGTAACCCCATCCCTCCAGAATGTTTAAATATTCATTACGATAATATGTTGACACAAACAGATCGATATTAATGTCACCAACAATGATATCAAAATCAACAATGTCCCTCTGAAGATCGGAGAGATAAGCAAAAAGGCTTTGGTTAAAATCTGCTTCGTCAGTGGATGGTGACCTGTAGAAAGCAAGTAAACGTAATTTTTTATTGTTTTTCAATATATTTAACCTAATTAACCTCGTGTGGGCAAATTCCACCACCTCATATGTGCAATTGAGACTATTCAGAACATAAACAACTACCCCATCATTTTGGTTAAAATCACCATGATTGTAAATCATTTCATATCCGTCCATTTGAAGTAGAGACAAGTTACATAGCTTATGTGTTTCGCAAATCGATTCTTTCGTTGTATGAACGCACCTAGACGTTAGACGGTAAAGAATCTTGCAAAAGTTTATATTCTTTCATTACAGTTTTGAGGAATTTTTGTGAATTGCCAGGTTCATATTTAGAATTGTAAAAATGATGACTCGCTGGTGCCTCATCGACCATAGAATACCATTCAGAAGCGGGAAATTCTTCGCCGGACGGAATAGTGGGCAGTAGCGCTTGGGTTTTTTTGGGTTTCAAGGGACTGAGAATTGAAAATGAAACGTCTGGGGTGGTCGGTACGCTTGGCAGCGGTGTACAATTGGGCGGAGTGATTATAGTTTCAGTGGCCTTGGTGCAAACGCTGAAAGTCTGATTCCCTCCAATTCTACTGATTAGTTCAGCGTAGTCCATGCGTATTTTTAACGTTAACAAATAGTTCCACGCATAAGTTGCTTTCGGAAATGGTGTCAGGGGACTAGGAGATATCGGGCAAGGTTGGAGTAAAAGGTGATTCTTTATTTTCAATTTCAGCATTAACCTTGTTTTCTAGTATGATAATTTTTTTTGATGTTTTCCTGTTCGGCAGCTCTCATTTTTGTTACAGTCCAATTGGAATCGTTTGAAAAGATTCTAACCCGCAACTCTATATTTTGAGCTTTAGCTTTTTCTTTGGCTTGTAATAATAATGCCTGGAAATGTTTGCTTTTCAAACTAAAAAACGAAGTCCCAATATCTTATCCAAATAACTATAGTTTTCATAAATTAAGAGCAAATCTTTAAGAATTGTAAAACAGTCGTTGGTAATAATACGACTTTTAAAGGCCTCTTTTAGAAAAGCTATTCTTGATCTGACAAAGTCCAAGAGACCCGCCATATTTTGCAAAACCATTTCGTCGGTCAAATCGCTTCCAGCCAACGATTCAATGCTTTCAGTTTCCCAAGGAAATTTTTCATCGTCTGTTGACCCTCCACTTTCAGCATACCCTAAGTCGGGATCGGGCATAAGTTCAATGTCCTGAGGCCAACATTTTTCTTGGTTTTTCGACAACCACTGTACAGGGTGGGCCAATTTGGACACTTTCTTATGGAAGCACCCTTTCTTTTTAGAGATAGAGAAAAATGAACCCCCCACTCTGAGGCTCAAATTTCATGAAATTTTGATTGGTGTAAACCGCATTTTGATATCTTCAACCGTTTAGCCGCTAGAGGGCGATTCTCGATTTTGAGCAATCTTGTAAAATCTTAATAACTTTTTTCTATTTTGGTGTCATATCGAAGTCTTTTCGTCACTAAAAGTAGTTTCGAAAAGAAGCTTTTTGTGACACTCCTTTTTTACTTATCGGAGGTTGGTAACACTGGCTGACTGATGGCCATCGAACTGTCATTCGCGATAAAAAATAATAGATTTCTATATTTGGCATGTAGTGTTGCCAACCTAAACATATGAAATCAGGAAATATGAGAATAAAATTTCCAAGAAGAGTTTGTTTTTTTCAATTAAAGAATACCAAAATAGAAAAAATAGTATAAAATGCCCTTTAGAAAACTCGCCTCCGGCTCGTTTTCTAATATAGGGCTCGTGCGATAAAATGACGTCTTATGAAACTTGTATTTTAATGTACTATTTTGTTTATGAAAATAATTGATTTCCGTAAAAACTTTCTGGAAGCACTTTTTTAAGCAGAATTCAGTGACGTTCTCAGTTTTTTTCTATTTGGCGCCGATTTTGAGATATTGACCAAAGACTGATTTTTTTCAATAGGACACCCTTTATATTAATAGCTCATTGAAAAGGTATGATTTTTCTGATTTTATTGATATAAAGTTCGATAGGTTTATCTCTAATCGTTTTCGAGAAAAAAAAATTATTTCGGTTTTTCTCATAAGAAGCAATGTGTTAGAAAAGGATTTTATATCTGTAAGGAAAATGAAAAAGGTCTCATTCTAACATATTGTTTCTTATGAGAAAAACCAAAATAATTTTTTTCTCAAAAACTATTCGAGATAAACCTATCGAACTTTATATCAGTAAAATCAGAAAAAGCATAGCTTTTGAATGAGCTAATATTATAAAGGGTGTCCTATTGAAAAAAATCAGACTTTGGTCAATATCTCAAAATCGGCGAAATCAATTATTTTCATAAACAAAAAAGTTATGAAGGATTTTAAATATTGCTCAAAATCAAGAATCGCCCTCTAGCGGCTAAACGGTTGAAGATATCAAAATGCGGTTTGCCCCAATCAAAATTTCATGAAATTTGAGCCTCAGAGTGGGGGGTTCATTTTTTTCTATCTCTAAAAATAAAGGGTGTTTCCATAAGAAAGTGTCCAAATTGGCCCACCCTGTACAATTACAAAGCCTTCTATGCAACTGTCTACGATTTTGCCAACACGTTCTTCTTCAGCCGATATGGCACGCACTATACTTCCAAAAAACAATCACAAACACAATTAAAGCAGTTAAAAAACGTCCAATCTTTATCGACTTTATTTGAGAACAATAAAATGAAAAATGCTAATAAAAAAATTCAGAAATGAAACTTATGCAAAGAAAATGTTTTTGTTGTGATGCTTCTAATCCGAGGGGTTTTTCACCTAACAAAATTTGTACACCGATTAACAGTAGGTACTAACTGAGATATTTCCATGTATTAACAAAATATTCCCACATATTGCCAGGTATTTCCCTAGTATTATCACATATTACCAGGTATTGCCATGCTATTGACAGACTAAAATCAAATATTTATCTTGCCATTCTAGGTATTGACATATCCACAGGTATTTACATGTTATTAATGGGTATGAACCAATGACATCAACATATATTGCCTAGATATCTTCAAGTATTGACATATATTACCTACATAATTAACAAGAAGGTATTGCAATAGTACTGACACTAATGACATAGTATTTACCTGGTATTGACATATACAGTATCCGCCAAGATAAACAGTACTGAACATATAAATTATATCATTTATTTATTTTTATCATGCGTATATGTTCAAAAAATGCATCATGGCAACGCAAAAAACTGTTTCTTAAGTTGAAAGATACATAATGACGAAGATTTTAACCTTAACTTAATGTCAACCTCATAACTAATGCCAAGTAAGTGAAATATGATGAATGCAACTTGCGTGCGCAATTACCCAGAGCTCTAGATTTCGGTACTGTTTATTTTGGCGGATACCGTATTAACCAGTGTACACCGATTAACAAGGTGAAAAACCCCTCGTTCTAATCATAGCCAAATTGCTATTTCGAAAATGCACATTTTGTAAAAAAGTAGGACATATTGAAAAGGCCTGTATGTTTAAAAAATATATAATGTTAAAAACACCAATCAAGTTGAGATGGAATGTGAAAATAAAAAATCAAATTTTTATGATGTTTTAGAAGTCAGTTTTGAAGAAGTTAAAAAATATTTCGTGGAAATTTTCATTAATGGGAAATTTCTTCGGATGGAAGTTGATTCGGGGGCTTCAAGAACATTACTTACTGAAGCGTGAGAGTCCAATGAGAAGCGAGTTTGTTACAGGTTTGCATCATATTCTTATTCAGGGGCCAGTTCAGAATTAAGGCGGATTTAAACAACTTTCATATACATATCGATGACATAATCATAGTTGGAAAAACCATTCCTGAACATAATGAACGACACGAAAAAGTTTTGTTCCTTATAAATAAATTAAGACTTACTTTAAACAAAGAAAAATGTAAGTTTTTACAAACAGAAATTGAATTTTATATAGGTTTCAGATTTGATAAATTCGGAATGCATCCTACAGTTACCAAAATTAGAGCTATAAGTACTGCACCTGCTCCTAAAACGAAAGAAGAATTGCAGGCATTATTCCTTGGTCTCCTTTCATTTTATAATAATTGTTTTTTCGTGAATAGATCTACAGATGCTGAACCACTTTATCAATTAAAGAGAAAAAATTATCATTCAATTGGTTAACTGCCTATCAAGCAGCGTTGGAGAAACTCGAAAAGATGTTAATCTCAGATTCATTGTTAGTAAATTTCAATCCTGTTTTACAGTTGGTCCTTGCTGAAGATGCAAGTAATGTAGGAGTAGGAGCTGTGTTATCTTACATTATTGATGGTAAGGAAATGCCAATTGCTTTTGCTTCAAAAACTTTAAATAGCTTTGAAAAGAATTTTGCTCAAATAGACAAAGAAGGACTTGCAATTATTTTTGGAGTCAAAACCTTCAATGAATACTTGTCTGGTAGATCTTTTACTATATACACTGTGGGCCAAATTAAGTTGGAACATTATTTGACCATTAATAAGTTTTTTGTCTGTTTATGGATTTTAATGATTTTTGGATATGATATTAGTCAATATGTTTTTGTTGTCAGCTTAAAATTAATTCGACCAATTTTGGTCAGGACCCGGACTTACTACGATTTCATTAAATCAGTGCATTCAAGTTCGTTGCAAAAACGAACTGCGCTACTTACAGACCAATTTTTTTTTTTAGAAGTGCATTTGTGGGAAAACAAATCCTGAAAATATCGATATTTTAGAACGAAAACCTAAGAAACTAAATTTTTTTTAAATAACAGTATAGTATAGTTTAGTACCAGTAAGCACTCTTATATATGTAATTACAATTTATTGTGTATATGTGAGTGTATAAATAAATAAATAAATAAAAATTCAAATAGGTAGGAAATTTTAAAATACTTTAATCCAGATTTGGAATTAACCAATTGTCAAATTTTTGACGTATTAGTAATCTGCACAGAGTAATCTGTTTAATTTAAAATAAGTAAACATGGTCCTTGTTGTTGGAAGATAAAATTTTAATTAAAGGGTTGATGGAAAAGAATATGGGTGCACAGAAAATTCTCAAAATGTTTCCAGAAAAAAACTGGAGCTTGAATATCGTAAGCTATTTTTTGAAACATTATCGCGAAAATGAAACAATTCAAATTAGGGTGGGTCGTGGTAGGAAAAGAAGTGGACGTTGTGAAGAGAATAAAAATATCAATCCACCAGATGTGATAAGTTCCAGAAAAATTTCAAGAATCACAAGAATAAAGCGAACGATAGTGCGAAGAATTTTAAAAAGTGATCTCAGCCTTAAGGTATACAAAAAAGTGTATTGCCAAAAATAGACCTATCTATTTTACCAGACAAAGAGGTAATAATACGAAAACTTCATTTAACAAAAAAAGAAACACAAAACGCTCATTGCGCAAGACGAGGCAAAACGTACCAAATTATGTTAGACTTACGTATAGCAATCCGCCCTTCTTATTTGCACAGGATAAAAAGGAAAGGAGAAAAACCCCGTGTTGTGCAACGTATTTGTCAATGAAAATGTCAAACAACTTTTGAATGACACTTGTCAAGTTGAATATCAACTTTAGATTTATTCTTGTCAGACCACGTGCAATGAACAAGGATAAAGAGATGCCCAGCATGCAAAACGATCACCTCACACCTGTATTAGCTAACCAATAAAAAGACATTGCCTCGTGTTGCGCGCGCATACCAGGTAAAAATAGATAGGTCTATTGAGTGCAGGAAATAAAAGAAAAAGGCTTTTATGCCAACACCTTCTGAGAAGATTTCGTAGCAGGGAAGATATCTCAAAAATTTGGTTTTCCGACGGAAAAGTTTTTTTTTTACCCCAACCGAAAAATACCCAATTTAACATGGTTTACTCAACAGCCGCAAAAAAGCGGGATGTTCCAATGGAAAAACTTTTAATTCCAAGGGCACATTTTGCAGATTCGGTCATGCTATCTTTGGCTGTTTCTAAATCAGGAAAAAAAAGTGTCATATTTATTGCTAAAAATGTTAAGATAAATTCAGAAGTCTACCAACAGCATGTACTTGCAAATTTGCTTTACGAAATTGAAAATATAACTGCTTATTACTGCTTTCAACAAAACGGTGCCCCCTCTGATACTTCCCGCAACACAACAAGATTTTTACAAGAAAATTGCCCCAAAATTATCGAGACAGATTTGTGGCCTCCTAACAGCCCTGATTCAAACCTCGTTGATTACTGCATATGGGGAATTCTGGAGTCCATGGTTTATGTGAATTACAATATTACAACAACCGAAGAATTAAAAAATTAGAGCATTTATTGCTGGGAGAGATTTAGTCAACACATTATAGACAATTCTATCAACCAATGGAGAAGACGCTTACAGACTGTAGTCCATAATGAAGGGAGCTTCATCCATAATCAATTTCTATAAAAAATGTTGGACTTGACTAATTGACTAATATATTATCCAAAAATCATTGAAATCCATAAACAGACAAAAATAGTTATTTTTGTATCAAGTGCGCGAAATGTCATTTTGTCGTTCGAGATCACCAAAAACATTTCTCGCCCGAGTTGCAAACAATATGTTTTCTACAACTCCATTCAAATATCGATCATTCGAAGCCAAAATTGTATTTCCAATCAAAGGCAGGTGAATTTTAATTATTTTTTGGCATCCTGACAGGTATGTGTCACCACGACACCAGTGTGCAAACTAGCTATTTCGCACACTAGGGTGCGAAATAGCTAGTTCGCACACTGGTGTCATGGGAACGTTAAAAAATCAAAACCTGGGAAAAAAAGTGTCTCTTTGCAAACTGTCATGAGTGTGCGAACATCATCATTTTTTGACAGTTGTAGAAATAGTTATTTATATAACAAGGTTGCGAAATAGAATTTCGCGCATGAGCAAATATTATGACGAGGCAAAGCCGAGTCATAATATGAAGCGAAGCCGCGAAATTCTTTCGCAACCGAGTTGTATACATTATTTTTTCTACAACTGCAGTATCTGAAATTTTACAATGAGTTTTGCGATTATGTATAAATACTTGCTTTCAAGTAAGAAAATTTTCAAAGCAACGTTTGGTATGTGACTGGTATCATACTGGTATGTGACGTATCTACGTGTAAATGTTTGACATTTGTCAAAAAGAATTTCGATTCACAAAATGTTATCTTCAGATGAAGAAATAGAAATATCTGGTACTCCACCAGATGTTGCGCAAGTCGCATATGAGGCAGTACAAGACCTTCTTCCATCCAAGTCCAGAATACATTATGAAAAAGCACATAATCAGTTTCTCAAATATCGAAAAGAAAAAAACGTTGGATCGGCAAGTGAAAACGTTCTTTTGGCCTATTTAGCTGAAAAGGCAAAATCTGTAAAAGGGTCTACATTGTGGTCTACTTAGGTACTCCATGCTCAAGTCCACCTTAAACGTTAATTAAAACGTAGATGTTACAAAATACTTGAAGATAGTCCCATTCCTCAAAAAACAGATGGTAGGATATCGAGCAAAAAAATCCAAGGTATTCAAAAGTGCGGATATTTCCAAATTTCTAACTACTGCTCCAGATGACTCTTACCTTCTGTCCAAAGTTCTGCTCATCATTGGAGTTTCTGGAGCTCCGGCGTGATGAGCTTGTCAAAATGACCGTTGATGATATTCAAGATGAAGGATCCGTGTTAATAATTACTGTTCCAGATACTAAAACTAATGGCCAAAGAATATTCACAATCATCAACCCTGAATACATTCGAATATTCCGGACATTGCAGAATTTCGGCCCCCTCATGTAAGTTGCAAACGATTCTATCAGAAAGGAAAGTGCACAAACCAATTTGTTGGCATTAATAAAATAGGGGCAACTCCTAGTATGATAGCAAAATTTCTTGGTAGACCCTACTTCAAACTGATTTGTATACCGGCCACTGTTTTCGCCGTACTTTGGCAACTTTATTAGCCAACACCAGAGATGATATTACCATGTTGGAGCGGCACGGAGGCTGGAAGTCCACAATGGTTGCAGAAGGATATGTCGAGGATTCTGTGCAAAATAAAATGGAAATTGCGAAACATATTTCAAGCACTACAAATGAGGACTGTGGTCAAAATTATTACGATAATGGTAGTGATCATTCAACTCTTCCAAATGTTGAGTCAGTAATTGCACCATCCACAACAAGAGTATCTTCAGAAATTTCAGCTAAATCAACATCAACAGGAATTACTATCAGTAACTGCAATAATAATTGTACTATTCACATTGTTAATAATAAATAAAATAAAAAATTTACAGTTCAATTAATTCAAGAGTATTTTTTGAAATGTTTCGCGCACTAGTGCTCCAAAATATTTCGCGCACTAGGGTGCGAAATTTTTAGCGCACGTTGCTTTGGAAAATTATCACCTGTTAAAAAATGACACATTTGTCGCATTAAAAACCATAAAATAATAATGACATTACTTGTCAGTTGTAGAAAAAAAATATTATTGGTCAAATAATATTCCAACTTAATTTGGCTCAAAGTGTATACTGATCACAAACCATTATTGGGAATTGTTGATACTAAAAAAGCTATTCTGTCAATTTTGTCTCCTAGACTTTTGCGTTGGACACTCATTTTGTCAATGTATGAATATTCGATTAAATATAGACGAGGAAAAGTTAATTCTAATGCAAATACCCTTAGCCGCCTACTACTATTCTCAAATGATGTTACTCCAACTCCATTAGATGTTTTACTTTTAGAAAGTATGAAAGAACCTCCAGTTTTAGCAAAAGAAATTGCATTTCATATCCAACAGGATCCAATTTTATCCAAGGTTTATTACTGGCTAATAAATGTTTGGCCTAATAAAATTCTTACTGCAGAATTTGATACCTATTTGAAAAGAAAAAATGAGTTATAATAAATTCATGCTAACTGCATTTTATTAGGAAGTAGAGTTGTAATTCCTCCTTCATTACGAAAAAGAATTTTAAAATTGCTACATGCTCCTCATCCTGGAATAGTTAAGATGAAATCTTGTGCTAGATCATTTGTTTATTGTTCTCAAATGGATAAGGAAATCGAACAAGTGATTTCAACTTGTGAAAACAACAAAAGTTGTGCATTTCAAATCAATAACGTCAACTGAAGTAATTTCTGCATTAAGAATCTTGTTTGCTACGCATGGTTTGCTTGTGGAAATTGTGTCTGATAATACACAATCCACATCTATGGAATTCGAAAATTTTTGTGCCATGAATAATATTAACAACATTAATATTATACCAGCTCACTTTGCTTCTAATGGGCAAGCTGAACGATTTATACTAGAAACAAAAAAGAAATTGAATTTATTAGAAAGTAAAATAAGGCAATATTCAACAATCTCACGTATTTTAGAGCAATGGCGGTGGTTTAAGACTTTATATTCTTGATAATTTGTAGATTGTTTTGGTATGTTATTGTCATAGTGCTCCACGTAACTACAAAACGAATGAAGGCTTTCTTGAAGAGGTACATAGATAATAATGTTGTATTCAAACAAGACCTCATACTACAAATATCGAAAAACAAAACTAAACCTCAAAATATACCTGTTTCACTTCAATCTTAACCTCCTCGTTGATATCCAGCTCAGCTTCGTCATCTTCCAACGCCATTTCCGGTTCGTACATTTCACTCTCGTCTGGTTCAATCTTCTCCAACTGTTCCAGTCTCTGTTTTTCCTCCCGCTCCTTCTTGTATTGTTCTACTAGGCTGGCGTATCGACGATAGACAGGCGATTCTTTGTGAAAAAGAAACCTGCAGAAATATCAAAAAAACGCCAAACGTATTAAAAAGGTCTCGTTTTTTTTTTTTAGTTTGGAGAATGTGATATTAAATAACTGAATTTTGATTATTTTGTGCAAATGTTTAGGGTGGGTTTTTTTTTTGGTAGCCCGAGTATTGAAGGTGGTCTAGAAGCTTTTTTCTTGGCCTTAAGAATGCATTTTTTGTGCGTTTCAAGATGATGTAAGCTAAATTTCAGATGCTTAAAACGAAGAAACCACAAACATCCAGACCACCAAATAGATTTCGATTCGAGACAGTCCAATTTGTCAATACCTACCTAATAAAAAATAAAAAAAAAATTAAATGGTTTGTGAATATACTTAGGCTATAGAAAACTGTGACAGGGGGACAGGCCCATCTATCTCACTTTTTAAGACGGATTGAATAATTGAAGTTATAAATCGGTTGTGCCATACCACAAATCGGGGTCTCGAGTTTTTTTCAGTCTAACGACGTCTTCGACGGAAGGGCCGCACTCTGCAACCATTCTGGCTAGGTTCGCCATCGCCTGGAATTCTTGGCCACCTAAGGAGAAACTCAGGAACACGTCACTAACGGTCCCAACAATCGAAACAGGGATGACATAAGGAATTATTTGAAATTTTGATAATCAAGACAATGAGTTTTTTCAATATTAATTTGTAATCAGGACAAATAAAGAATCAGTTGTTTTACTCTTTAGGTAAAACATAATAATTTGTCTTGCAAAATATCTTATCAACTAAGAGATAGAATAATTTTTTTAATTGGGATTCTTTCAATGTATTGCCATCTTTAAGATGGTATACAGAAAACAGGATTTTAGACATTACTAGACTTTTCATAAATTCGGTTGAAGAAACAACACCTCATTCACTACTTTGCAATGACATTCCTATTTGTAGGTATGTCTTCATTCTTAATAAAAAACTTAAGAGGAAAACTTCAGTTTTTTTTGAGTCCCTTCTCAATTATTTAAACATTTAAGCAAAAAATCCCAAATTTTAAATTTTTACCCCAATTCACTTACAAAAATAATTATTTTCACTTCGCACCCTGAACACAGTAAAACCAGAGCTCATTATGTACTAACAAAACATTTAATCTCTTAGTTTAAAAATCTTTCACATGACTGTAAAAAATGATTCAACAAGTCATCCCTGCAAATAAACACACAAAGAAAGACCAAGAAGTATTTAAGAAAATAATACACTCCCATCAATTCTTACCACTTAAATCATCTCCTCTGATTGGCGATGGAACAGCACCCAACATTGGCGGCGGGACATTCAGATTAACCATTGGCGGTTGTATACTAAAATTTGGAGGTGGCTGGCTGACGTCTTGCGGTAATATAGGAGGCGGTGGTAGGTTAACAGCCATTCCAGGCGGCGGAAGCACTCTTTGCGACATCAAAGAGGGTATGCGAGACAATCCAAGTCCAGTTATATCAGGAGGCGGTAAGTTTTTATTAGGCGGAGGGATGTTTTTTAATTCGGAAGGGGTGGGTATTGCCAGCAAATCTAGAGGTTTGGGGTTGGGAATTTCATTTAATTGAAGAGAAGATGGAGTGGGGATTGTTGAAACTTGCAAAGGGGCTGGTGGTGGTATGTTCATTGTGTTCAAAGGTTCTGGTTGGGGAATATTTTGGACCTAAAATCAAAGATCCAAATGATGAAAAATTTAAATTCCAATATAATTGAACTTACTTGTATTGGATTGGGAGGCGGTATAGAAGTCAATTCAACAGGAGCCATTCCTTGAGGATGAACATTTAACGCATTAGGGGTGCTCACATTTATATTATGCTGCGTTATCACTGGGGGTGGCAAAGTAACTGTTGTCAAGATGCTAGTTGGAGTAGAAACCAATACATTTTGATCCTGAAAAAAAAACTTAAACACTTCTATTTTAGTTTTTAAAGAGTCACTTACCTGTGGTGTTATGACTAGCTGAGTTTGAGGCAATATTTGAGGAGGAGGTACATTTAAAAGAACCTGAGGAGGTGCAGAAACAATTTGCTCAGCACCAGTTGTAGTTGCAAATAGATGAGGAGCAGCTAAAGCTTGTGTCATAATGGTTTGGGTTTGTTGTAATACTGGAGCAGATGTAGACACTAAAATATTAAGTAAATAATTATTGTGGTTCAAAATTTACAAAATCACTCACAATTTACTGTAGGGGTTACCAATTCAGTGCCAGATGCAGCTACAATATTGAGTGGTTGCTGCATAAGTGGAGTTGTTATTTGTTGAGCTACGGTAGAAGTTATTATTTGCGCAGAAGGTGGAGCAATATTGGTATTTATATGACTTATAGCTGTCAACTGATGCGGTGGAGTAGTGAAGCTTATATTTTCGTTAGGGGTAAAGCTGATTTGTGTTGGGATGTTAATCAGTGATGAGATTTGAGTATTTGCTTGTTGGTTTATTATTTGAGGGGATTGAGTATCAAGGGTAATGTGAGATTGTGGAGGTAAAATTTGTGGAGGTTGGCTAAAGTGACTAGATGGAGGTGGACTAGTAAATGTGTTATTAAATGGTATATTTAGTGGTGGTGGTTCTATAGTGAAGTTTGGAGGTGGTCTGTGAAGATCTTCTGTAATTGGAGGCGGCTCTGAATAATTAATTTTGTCACTAAAAAAAATATGGATTATTACTTAAGTTTATCTATAAGAAAAAAATTAGAAATTTACATGTTAATAATTGTATCTTGAGCTTCATCACTCTCTATTTCTTGTTCCCTCTCTTGTTGGCGTTCTTTTTCCTTCTCTTGTTCTCTTTGTCTTTCTTTATCCTTATATTTATTGAAAGTTTTAAATTTTGAATCTTTTTTCTTATCGTTTAATTGCTTAAATTGATCCATAAATGAACCGTCATTTGAGAAGTGATTCATACCACTTTTTGAAGGTTCTTTTGGTAAAGTTGGTCTGAAAATAATAACAAAAAATCTAATTAACCACAACGACCAATGGATAACTTGAGTTCCTCCTCTTTGCTATTCCTAGCCACAATTATGTGACCTGAAAGTTCAGTACATGTCTGTGGGTAAAATGGCAAAGAGAAGAAAGTCTAATTTCTTTTTTGTTATAAATCATTTATTATTTAAGCACATAATAATATCAGGGAACTCTGCAAATCCTATCGAAATACTTTCGAACATTATCCCATTTGACCAAATTTCAGGTGACATATAATAATATTCCAAAACACTACCAGCAATACCATATTTTTTCAATTTTGACAACAAAATCGCCGGATCTATCGTTTCAAAAGCCCTCTTTAGATCCAAGAATACACCCACGACAAATTTATTACCGAGCATATTACTATCGACATCGTTTTTGATTTTACATAATGCCAACTGGAGAGCAGATTCGCACGAGTACCCGCTGCGAAATCCAGACTGGTTAGTTATCAGGATTCCATTATTTGTAATATGTTCCAAAACTTGATCATACACTGCCATCTCCAAAACCTTTTCCTTAGGTGCCAATGTGTTTATTCGACGAAATTCACTGGCGTCCATAGTATTATTGACCTTCTGTATTGGAATAAAAGTACTACATTTTAATTTATCAGGAACTTCACCAATCCTAAGATATGTGTTCAGAAGATTCAGAATATTATGACCAATGGTTTAAAATATGGACCTAAGAATCTTAGCATTCAACAATTCATGAACAGAACATTTATTATCAATCCTCAATATTATTTTTCGAGCATCAGACATATTCGACATAGATCCTAGAAATCTCCAAATTCAAATTTCTATCATTTCTGACCATTTTGCATCCTTTCGCTAATTCTTTCTATAATGCTAACAAAATAAAAGTTAAAATTTGCTGCAATCTCCTCTACATCTACATCTCTCTGTAGAATGTAACCTTTTCATTTACAATAATTTTGAAGAACTTTAGATCATCTGCATATAGAAAGAACTCTGAACTGCCCACATAATTAGATATGTCATTAACAAATAACACAAGCAGAGGTCCAAGAATTTGCTGAGATGCTTCAGACATGGCCACATAGCTCTGAGAGTTAGCTTCATCAAATTTTACACTTTGAGGCCTATCTCCAAAGTAAGAGACCAAATAACTAATCAGCTTATCACTGAATGAGAGTTGCTTGAGTTTCCTTATAAGGATATCATGGCACACCTTGTCAAATGCCTCTGCTAGGTCTGTACCCACAACATCAAACTGTAGGCCACTGCTTATATATTTAGCCAAAAACTCTGTAAACACACTAAGATTGGATTTCGTTGATTTGCCTTTTTAAAACCCATGTTGTTGAGGCAGAATAACATGTTTGACATGATAAAAATTCGTTTGTGTAAAGTGTTTTCAAATATTTTTGAAAGTGCTGGTAAAACGGTAACTGGTCTGTAAAGATGTAAATATAAAACAATGTGAGCCAACTCAGAAAGTTATGCAGATCGAAAACACAATAATTCTGGCGAAAAAATGTATGTGATCTATTTATAAGGAAATACCAAGTAGCTAATTCAAACCCACAAGATATTACTATGATTGCTGGATAACTTTACGAAGTATCTAACATATAATGAGCATTTATTAAAATCTATTCCAGATCTTATAACAAATTTACCCCATACTGAGTGGAAACACACAATTCAAAAAAATCCTAGATCTATGGTCTTAAATCTGGTCAGTCGCCAAAAAATATTAGAAGTAACGCTAAAAATTAAAAAAACAGTAGTAGTGATCTCGGTAGTGATGATGAAATACCCACAAGTCTTATTCGTGAGATTATTCTATGTAGTCATCCTAGAGGTAGTTTGCTTTGTAATAAATAACTCACTTAAAGAGGGGAAGTTTTCTGAGACTTTAAAGTAGTCGGCAATCAAGCCATATTATAAGATACAAATATACTATACAAACTATAGAAAGTTATTTGGGCCAGACCTGCAATTGTGGTATGGTATAGTCAATATGGCGAAGAAAAATGGCGTCTAGCGAGAATGATCTCAGCGACAGCGAGAGCGAAAAAAGCAGCAGAAGCTCGGAAAAGGTCAAAAATATCTATAAATGTTGTGTTAAAAAAGTGTGCAAAACCCAAATCTGCGTGAATTGTAACAGTGCTTACCATATATCCTGTGCAAAAAGGAAAAATTTAAAAGTTATTAGTAGTGGCCACATTGCCTGTTGTGAAAAAGTGGCGGGATGCCAGAATGAAGTCAAAGATAATGAAAAGTCGCTAGAGGTAAAAATCGAGTACCTGAATAAGTTGCTAAATGAAGTACAAGAAAAGAACGACATCTTAAAAGAAAATAACAGTGTCCTAAAGGAAAATAATAGATTACTAGTGGAAAGAATAAATACTCTATACTCTTGAAAAAAACCAAAATAAACAGTTCTAACCTCAAAAATTCTCCGACGTTGCCAAACAAAACATCAGGGAGAACGAGAAGAGACAGCAAATGCCCAGAATCAGAGTTGAAATGCACCATAACCTATCCACTCAATCACAACCTTTCCTGCTCGATCACAACAAGAACAAACTTTGCAAATGTCAACAAAACAAAAAAAACAACAACACAACATTGAAAATGGAAAACTAGATGTAAATATCATTCCAGAACAACAGGATGAAACATCATTAGAGCAAGGAGATGGTTAAACAATCGTACAACACAGAAAAAGATATATGAAAAAGCGTCTTGGAACAGGAACAGCTACGCAAGGAGAACTTACACAGGGATTTGCAGGACCCGAACGCAAAGTATGGCTGAACATTTATCGTGTAAACAACCATGTTACAAAGGAGATGGTCGAAAAACATATTAAAAAACAACCCGGATTTGAGAACTTGAAAATCATGGTGTCAGAACTTTCAACCAAGTCAAATTTGAAGAGTTTTGTTGTGACGGCACCTCTAGTCAAAAAAGACGAGATGTACGAAACATAATTCTGGCCCCCTAACGTAGGAATAAGAAGATATAAGTTTGATATCCACCAAAAAACCAGTGGAGGTGATTTTTTATAATAGACACCCAAAGAAGCACAAACACGAACACAAGCAAAAACAACAAAGCGGAAAAAAACGACCATAGCAAAGCCTCATCAACATCAAACACATTCAAGGAACCTAGAAAAATTGGATTGATACATCAGAATTTACAATCAATAGGTAATGATGGTAATGTGATTGACAGGATAGAATGTGAATTAGAGAAACACAAAGAGTGCAAATTTTTATGCTTCACAGAGCACTGGAAGTCTGAGGACCAGTTAAGTACCAAAGCAATTAACAACTTCTCTCTACTAACGAGCTATTGCAGACCTGCAGGAGCCTATGGAGGAGCAGCTATATACATACATAAATCAATAAATGGTAAACACAGAAATAAACTACAGAAGCTTTCAGAGTGCGGAGAATTCGATTGTGCAGCAGGGGAAGTATGCATTGAAGATAAAAATATAGTTGTTGTTGCAGTCTATAGACCACCTGGTAATTTACAAAAAAAATTCAATAAACTAGAGGAAATCTTACATAAAATATGCTCAGAAAAGAAACTTTTGCTAATGGCAGGTGATTTTAATATAGAAATGGTTGAATAAAATAGAAATAAGGACATATTATTGAATATTGTAAAATCATTCAACCTAGAAGTAACAATAAACCAATATACTAGAATCACTGCCAACTCCAAAAGTGATATCAATAACATCTTTACAAATGTAGAAAATTGGAATAGTTGTGTATTTAACACGCATGTGTCAGATCATTTTGCCCAAAAAATTATTTTTACATTGCCCTTAGTTGAAAAACAACATGTGTATTTTCGAAGAAAATTTGGGGAGAGGGAAAAAACAGATTTTGTAAATAAATTAAGTGACCAAAACTGGAAACCAATTTTTGCTGTAAAAAAGTCTGATGTATATGCTCAGTGGAGAGGCTTTATGTCAATATTTTCGGGTATATTTAATGAGTGCTTTCCTGGATCAATAAAAAATGTAAATTCAGGTTAGGAATCTGCCCTGAAATTGATGAAATTCGAAATAGGTTAAACACTTTATTAATATTAAAAAATCAAAATCCCGAATATAATGATATGTACCTATAAAGAAACAAAAAAAGAATATGATTCCTGTCTGAGAAGGGAGAAAGCAAATTATTTCGAGAATAAACCAACAGATCAGACAACAAAAACAAAACTATGTGGAATATATGCAATGAAATTACAGGCAAAGCCAAAAACAACCAAAATTATCCATTTAAAGAAAGTCCTCGAGCAGTAGCAGACAATTTCAATACTTACTTCAATACAATCATATCACAACTCCAAAAAAACTCAAATGATAATCCCATTAGTTACAGTTCAATTAACCATTCTAATAAATCTATGTTCTTAACCCCTACCACACCCACAGAAATTAAAGAACTCAAGAAAAATATCAAAAATAAATTCAGCAGTGGAGACGATGACATTGCTATAGCTATAGTGAAATTATCACTTGATTCCTTAAGTGTTATACTATCGTATATAATAAACAATTCTATGAAGTTTGGTATATTCCCTGAATTTTTAAAAATTGCCCTTATCAAGCCTATACTCAAAAGTGGAGAACCAAACAAAGTAGAAAGTTACAGGCCCATAAGCTTATTACCCAGCTTCTCCAAAGTATTTGAAATCATAGTCTGTTCACGAATACTAAAATATTTCCATCAGAATAAATTATTTAAAAACAATCAACATGGATATCTACAGGGACGATCAACACAAACCGCAATCTTTCAATTCACTCAGGGTATCTTGTCACTTCTTGAAGGAAACAAAATGGCTCTGGGCATATTTTTGGATCTAACCAAAGCATATGACTCCATATGGATAGAGCACACAAGAGAGAAACTTGAGATTTATGGAATCAGGGGTAATGCAAATAAATGGATATATTCTCAT